GGCCTCAGCGGATTGGCTGAGATGTGGGCCCGGCTGCTCCCGCCACGTGAACCAGAGGGGGGAAAGGACACGTGGGGGAGACCCGCAGCCGGAGCGGCCGGAGAGTCTCACTCTGGGGCCCAGGCTGGAGGGCAGGGGCACGCTCCCGGCCACCACAGCCTCGACCTGCTGGGCTCAAGTGGTCCTCCCGCCTCAGCCTTCCGAACAGCTGGAACCACGGGCGCGCGCCACTGTGCCCGGCTCATTTTTTGACTTATGGTAGAGACCAAGTTGCCCAGGCTAGCCTCGAACCCGACTCAGGCAGTCCTCTCCCTCTGCCTCCAAAAGTGCTGGGATGACAGGCGTGAGCCACCACGCCCAGCCACTTCTTGTAGAGACGGAGTCTCACTATGTCGCCCAGGCTGTTGGTGCTGAACTCCTGGGCTCAAGCGATCCTCCCTCCTCGGCCTCCTAAAGTGCTGGGAAGACAGGTGTGAGCCACCACACCGGGGCTCTTATCCTGCTTACTCTTGGAGGGCCCAGCTCAAAAGCCACCTCGCCAGCCTCACTCCTTGGGCCTTGCCCGGATGTGTCACGGGCACCACAAATGTGCCAAGTCCAGAACTCCCTTCTTGCTGCCCCTCCTCAATCTTGGCCCATCTCCTCCCAGTCGCTGTGTCCCCGTCTGAGCATCTACCCTTTCGACCGCCTGATCCAATCCATCGGCTGCTATCCCTGGTGGCCAGTCAAGGAGAGAGGCAGAAACTGGCAGGAACGGGTGTTTATTTATTTGTGAGTTGGAATCTCACTCTGTATCCCAGGCTAGAGTGCAGTGGCAGGCTCACAGCCACCACAGCCTCGACCTGCTGGGGGCCGGCGATCCTTCTGCCTCGGCCTTCTAAGCAGCTGGAACCACAGGCATGCGCCACCATGCCCGGCTAATTGTTTGATTTATTGTAGAGACGAGGTCTCGCCAAGTTGCCCAGGCTGGTCTCGAACCCCGGGCTCAGGCAATCCTCTCACCTCAGCCTCCCAATGTGCTGTGATGACAGGCGTGAGCTGCTGCGCCTGGCCTGGTTCTTCTTTCAACAGAATGCTGGAGTCTTTGATGATCATCTGAGTAAAGGGATATATGCCTTAAAAAAAAAAAATCCCGGCCGGGCATGGTGGCTCACGCCTATAATTCTAGCACTTTGGGAGGCAGAGGCGAGGGGATTGCCTGAGCCCATGGGTCCGAGACCAGCCCAGGCACTTGGTGAGACCTTGTCTCTACGATAAAATTTAAAAAAACTAGCCGTGTGTGGGAGCGCATGCCTGAAGTTGCGGCTGCTTGGAGAGGTGAGGCAGAAGGATCGCCGGAGCCCAGCAGGTCGAGGCTGCGGTGGCCGGGAGTGTGCCACTGCCCTCCAGCCCGGGCCACAGAGTGAGACTCCAACTCAAACACAAAGAAATGCCCTTCAAATTTTAAGCAGGTTTTTTATTTATTTGTATTTGTTGTAGAGATAAGGTCTCACCATGTTGCCCAGGCGGGTCTCAAGCTCCTGGGCTCAAGCGTTCCTCCCCCCTCGGCCTCCCAAAGGGCTGGAGGACGGCACGAGCCCCCGCGCCGGGCCCTGCCTTTGTTGCTGCCCAGACGGTTTCATCCTGAACCCAAGAGTCCTGCTGGGTTGCATCAGCCTCCCTCTGGCAACTTTTTTCTCGGCCTCTTTCCTTGCTCCTTCCTTCCCCTTCCTCCCTAAGGCATGCTTATCTGACCACAAGCTTGCTCAGGAATTCCAGTGGATAATCTAAAACCAGATCCGGAATGGAGTCTGACTGCAGGACCCACCCACTTCGAGGCTGTCAGGAGACAGTGAATCCAAAACCTGACTGCACCAGCCAGACCTCTGCCTTCCAAGCGCCTGAGACTACAGGCGTGCGCCACCACGTCCAGCTAACTTTTTCTGATTTATTGTCGAGACGAGGTCTTCTTATGTTGCCCCAGCTGGTCGCAAGCTCCAGGGCTCATCCTCCCACCTCAGCCTCCCAAAGTGCTGAGATTCCAGGTGTGAGCCACCTTACCTGGCATGATTCATTCATTATTATGTTAAATAAGATCCTTGACATTTGTTCATTTGATATGTGAACGAAAAACATGATTTTACCTAAAAAAGTTGTACTTTGACCCCTGACATTGGCTACCCCCACCCCACACCCCAATCTATCCTCACGTGACAATTTAACTTTCTAAATGTCTCTTTATCTACCCACGTCTCTCCGTCTGACCTGCCTCTGCCAGTTTGTCTGAAGTGGCTTTATTGGGCTCTCACCTGGTCCTCTTACCGTCTAAATTTAGGGTTCCCACCCGAGAGGACAAGTGGGTTCTGGCTTCCTGCAGGAATGAATTTAAGCACAAGCTGTTAAGTAGGAAATGAAGGTAAGTTTTATTAAAGGAATAGGCTGGACGTGGTGGCCTGTAATCTCAGCACACTGGGAAGCCGAGTTAAGAGGACCTCTTGAGGTCAGGGGTTCGAGACCAGCCTGGACAACATAGCAAGACCCCATCTTCACAAAAAAAACCTTAATCGAGCATCGTGGTGTGTACCTGTCATCCCAGCTATTCAGGAGGCTGAGGTGGGAGGATTGTTAAGAGACCGGGAATGCCGGGCGCAAGTGGCTCACGTCTGTAATCCCAGATCTTTGGAAGGCAGAGGTGAGAGGACTACCTGAGAACACGGGCTCGAGACCAGCCTGGGCAACATGGCGAGACCTCTTCTCTACAATAAATCAAAAAATTAGCCAGGCATGGTGGTGCACACCTGTAGTTCCAGCTATGGGAAGGCTGAGGTGGAAAGTTCACCAGAGCCCGCAGGTTGAGGCTGGGGTGGTTGTGAGCGTGCCACGGCACTCCAGCCTGGGTGACAGAGTGAGACTCCAATTCCCCCCCCCCCAAAAAAGAGCCCAGAGGTTCCAGGCTGCAGTGAGCTATGACCACGCCACTGTACTCCAGCCTGGATGACAGAGTGAGACCCTGTCTCTACAAAAGCAAAATAAGTATATAAAGTGACAGAGAAACAAGAAGATGGCCACTCCACGGGCAGGTCAGCCAATGTACATTCCTGCAGCTTCAGCTGTGAAAGGAGGGACCCCAAGAACCTTGGAATAGACTTGGCTTTAGGGCAGCCATTTTGCCCCAGTATAACCATTTCTGCTTCATCTCTACCCCTGACACACTTTGCTCAGCAGCTTGCACGGCCTGCCTGTCCCTCTTACCCTATAATCATTAACAAGAAAATCACCTTTCCCAAAACTTGTTCCTGGAACCAGTTTCCCAGGGTCAGGCCATAAAAATCAGTGATTACTCTGTCAGGCACGGTGGCTCAAGCCCGTCATCCTAGCACTTTGGGAGGCTGAGGCCAGAAGATTATCTGAGCTCAGAGGTTCGAGACCAGCCCAGGCCACTTGGCAAGATTTCTTCCCTCCAATAAATCAGAAAATAAGCTGGGCGTGGTGGCGCATGCCCGTATTCCAGCTACTTGGAAGGCTGAGGCGGAAGGATCACCTGAACCCAGCAGGTTGACGCTGGGGTGGCCATGAGCATGACACTGTCCTCCAGCCTGGGCAACAGAGTGAGACTCTGGCTCAAAAGAAAAAAGAAATCAGTAATTACTCAAACCCCCTTAAGCATGTCCCGTCCTAATAATCTTTCTCTTTCTTCCAGACATTTATTTGTATCAATACATTATCAGTCATCCATGAGGACCTGCAGACAACACCCCAGACCACCAGGGAGGCATCCATATGAATACATTGGGTTTTTGTTTGTTTTTTTGAGTGGGAGTCTCACTCCGTCGCTCAGGCTGGATGGAGTGCAGTGGCCTCACGGCCACCCCAGTGTCGACCTGCTGGGTTCAGGCAATCCTTTCGCCTCAGCCTTCCAATTAGCTGGATCCACAGGCGCGTGCTACCACGGCCGGCTCATTTTTGATTTATTGTGGAGATGAGGTCTCGTCAAGTTGCCCAGGTTGGTGTCGAACCTGTGGGCGCAGGCAGTCCTCTCGCCTGGGCCTCCCAGAGTGCTGGGATGACAGGCTGAGCCGCCAAGCCCAGCCAGATACACGGTTATCGTGCGGCCACCGGAAGACATGAGATGCTGGTGCCCCGAGATGTCAAGAACCAAGAATTATGCAACGGCTGTCGACATCAAAGAACGCAGCCCTGGGCATTCCTTTGGGCCCAAACCCCTCCAAGCCCAACCCCCACCCTTGTCCCAAGAGCCCTTAAACACACCCAGTCCTCATCCCTTCGATGCCACACTCACCTGCGTGCAGGCCCCTTTCCGCCTGTCAAAGGGGAAGAATAAACTTTCCTTCTTTGTGCTTTGTTGTGATCGTCCATTATTCCCAAGGTACCGGCCCACCTTGCCTCAGTTTGCTCTTCAGGCCGGAAAACGAAAGCGAGTTTCTTGAAATGACAGAGAGCGGCCGCCCCACCGGCAGGGCAGCCTGGCTGGGTCTGTGGCTGTCTCTTCAGCACATGCCAAGCGAGGACTGGAGCACGCCTGCGTTTTCTGGGAAAGAAACAGGAAGCCTCTGGAATCCAGATAGCCTTCCCTTTTTGAAGTCGGTCGAGTAACCTCTAGGACCACCCAGTAGCCACGGGAACTGTCAACGGTCATGGTGCTGCTGGTGGGAGTGCCTTCTGGCATGGTAATGCATTCTGCTTCGCGCATAATAAGCAAAAGGGCAAGTAATGGTGGCTTTAGACGCCATCTTGGTCTCGGTTGGCTGCTGCTGGCTTTGGCGGGTCTTGTCACTGACAGTGAGGTTTAGGCTTTATCACCTTCGTTTGGGGAAACTGGTCCTACAGGGGACCTCTCTCACTGCAGACCAAACCTCTCTCTTTTTCGTTTCTGGAGTGGGAGTCTCACTCTGCCGCCCAGGCGGGAGCGCAGGGGCATGCCCCCGGCCACCGCAGCCTGACCTGCTGGGCTGGGGCAACCCTTCCGCCTGAGCCTTCCAAGTAGCTGGAACTACAGGCACGCACCACCGCCCCTGGCTCGTATTTCTCGATTTACGGCCGCGACGAGGTCTGGCCAAGCTGCCCGGGCTGGTCTCAGGCGGTCCTCCCACCCTGGCCTCCCAAAGTGCTGGGATCACGGCTGTGAGCCCCGCGCCCGGCCTCCCGCGCTCTTACATTCACGTGCTTCGTGTCCCTGGGATGCGGACGAGGTCCTGGCTGTGCTTTCGGTCTCCGCGTGACCGGCGACGCCAGGCCACGGCCCTGCTGCGCCGCTGCCCCGTCG